CCCAGCAGGAGCACGGCTTTGACCCCGGACATGGGAGCTGGGCAAAGGGGCTGCGCTCAGCCCCATGCCTGGGCCAAGCGCTGGCGCAAGAGCTGGAGGTGCTGGGGCCAGGCAGCACCTACCTGGGTGCTGGCGAGGGCTCCTCGGCTGTGTCGTGATCCGCTAGCAAGCGCAGTTCGGGCAGGAAAGCTGGGGGCAGCCTGTTGCGCAGGACTCGGGGGTGTCCAGCTTGGCTCCACCGTCGCTCCAGAGCCCCATCCCTCTGCACTGCAGACCAAAAGGGTTAGGCTTAGCAGGAGGCAGGTGGGACTCAGCACAGCAACCCAACTCTCAGTGAAGTCCCCTTGTCCCCACACTGCCTTTTAGGGCTGTCTAGGGACATGTGCATGCTCTCCAGACACCTGGGCTGTCCGCACAATGCATCACTGAGCTGTAACTCTGCATCTGCCCTCTGCTAATGGAGATGGCACCCTGCAACCACCAACTCACTTTGCAGGCAACCTGCTAGGTGCTGTGGGCAGCCAGTTCTGGGGCAGCAAGTCCCCATGGGCTCACTAATCTGTTTGTCAGCTGGTTTCCTACCCGCTGTCCCATTTCCCTGTTAGCCCATCGCCTCCCTCGAGCTGCAGCAAACCGGCAGCACCCCAGCCCCAGCGAGCCGGGCACTCACAGGTGGTGATGTGGAGGTGGATGGGTTCGCTGTGCACTTGGCCTTGCTCTGTGTTCTGCACAGCCGTCACAGACAGGCGGTACTGCTGCCCGGGGAGCAGGTCCCGTACCGTGTAGGACATGAGCTTCCCGTTGGGCACGTAGCGGCTCTTCACACTCTGAGCAGTAGTGACATTGATGATGTACCCCTCCACAGTGCCAGCAGGCGGCTGCTCCCATGCCATGGACACAGTGGTGGCAGTGACGCGGGAAGTGGTGAGGTTTTGGGGTGGGAGAGGCTCTGAGGCAGGCAGAGGAGGGGAGAAAAGGGGTCAGCACTGCTGTCCTTGAACAGTGACCGCCCTACTTGTGCACACACCACCTTGTAAGTGTGCTAGGGCCCCAGCTTAGAATCACAGGATGGTTTGGGTTGGAAGGGACCTTAAAGCCCATCCAGTTCCACCTCCTGCCATGGGCAGGGACACCTCCCACTAGCCCAGGTTGCTCAAAGCCTCATCCAGCCTGGCCTTGAACCCCTCCAGGGATGGGGCATCCACAGCTTCTCTGGCCCACCCTCAGCCCTCCAGCCATGCAGTGCACAGGGACACCCAGCACTGGGTCCCTACCAAGGCGGGCAGAGCCCTGCTGCACCCTAGCACTGGGTTTGGCCCTGGCCCTCCATCTGCCATACGAGCAGGGGATGAATCAGGCCCGTGTGGGGCTGAGTTCGTGCTGGTCTCGGGCAGTGAACACCTGGCAGGGGAGGATGTGCGGCTGCCTTGCCTGCCCTTCCCAAGGGCTGCCTGCACACCTCCCATCAGCCGTGCTGGCCAGACAGGACGATGGCTTTTGCGCCTTCCCCTCCCTGCAGCTTTCCTTCTGGCCATGAACCGCAGCTCCCCTCCGCCTGCCAAGCCCCAGGGCCCCCCGCGACGCCAGGGTTATGGCGAAGGCAACCCCACTCACTCGTCCACACGTGGAAGGGAGCCGTGGCCAGACTCTCCGAGGGGTGGTCTTCCATCCCCAGGCCACTCAGTGTCGTGACGTGGACGATGTACCTCTCTCCTGGCTGCAGGTCCCTGCGGAGGAGGAAAGCAGGTGGGAAAGGGGAAATTGGGTAGCCCGGGAGGGCCAGCCAGCCCAGTGCCCACCCACTGCCCCACTCACAGGAAGGTGTACTGGGCCACGCTGCTGTTCAGCTCCACAGTGCGCTCAGCCAGGTCTCCGGGCTGGCGAATGGAGACCCGCACCCTACTGACGGTGGAGTGCTTGAGCCGGTGGAGAGCCCACTGCACCGTGATGGCACTGGCCGTCACGTTTGTGATCTCAAAGCCTTCCACCGGGCGCGGTCCTGGCCGGAGCAAGCGGAGAAGGGCTGCAGTCAGCCGCTAGTCATGGGGTGTCACCCCGGCCTTTCCCCACACCCCTGCAAAGGGGGGTCCTGCCTGCCCTACGGACCCACACCCTCCCAGCCTCATCCCCTGCGGGCAGGCGGGATGTGCAGGCAGGCCTGAAGCACACCCAGCTGCCCACAAAGCCTCGTGCCATCCATAGCACCCCTGGGGCCGTCCTCCTCTGGCCC